CACTCACAGAGGTCAGACTCACACTCACAGAGATCAGACTCACACTCACAGAGGTCAGACCCACACTCACACTCACAGAGGTCAGACCCACACTCACAGAGGTCAGACCCACACTCACACTCACAGAGGTCAGACTCACACTCACAGAGGTCAGACCCACACTCACAGAGGTCAGACTCACACTCACAGAGGTCAGACTCACACTCACAGAGGTCAGACCCACACTCACAGAGGTCAGACTCACACTCACAGAGGTCAGACCCACACTCACAGAGGTCTGACTCACACTCACAGAGAGACTCACACTCACAAGGTCAGACTCACACTCACAGAGGTCAGACTCACACTCACAGAGGTCAGACTCACACTCACAGAGGTCAGACCCACACTCACAGAAGGTCAGACCCACACTCACACTCACATCACAGAGGTCAGACACACTCACAGAGGTCAGACCCACACTCACAGAGGTCAGACCCACACTCACAGAGGTCACAGAGACACTCACAGAGGTCAGACTCACACTCACAGAGATCTGACTCACACTCACAGAGGTCAGACCCACACTCACAGAGTCACAGAGGTCAGACTCACACTCACAGAGNTGAACAATGCAAAAAATGCTAATGATGCTAATGATGCTAATGATGCTATTGAAACTTCAGATCTGAACCGGTCTCACTCTCAGCCGGGGCGTCTCTCTAGCGCCGCCTCTGGCCCTGACCTGAAACAACAGGACACAGCACAACAACAGGTCAGAAACCAGGACTACACCAGGACTACACCAGGACTAAACCAGGACTAAACCAGGACTACACCAGGACTAAACCAGGACTAAACCAGGACTAAACCAGGATTATACCAGCTCTAAACGAGGAGAAAACGAGGAATAAACCAGGTCTTACCCAGGTCTAACCCTGGTCTAAACCAGGTTTAACCCAGGTCTAAACCAGGTCTAAACCAGGTCTAAACCAGCTCTAAGTAAGGAGAAAATGAGGAATAAACCAGGCCTAAATCAAGTCTAAATCAGCTCTAAAACAGGTCTAACCCGGGTCTAAAGCAGGTCTAAACCAGGTCTTACCCAGGTCTAAACCAGGTCTAAACCAGGTCTAACCCAGGTCTAAACCAGGTCTAACCCAGGTCTAACCCAGGTCTAACCCAGGTCTAAACCAGGTCTAACCCAGGTCTAACCCAGGTCTAACCCAGGTCTAACCCAGGTCTAAACCAGGTCTTACCCAGGTCTAACCCAGGTCTAAATCTAAACCAGGTCTAAAGCAGGTCTAGAGTCAGTACCTTGCAGTAGCAGTAGTACATTGGGAGGATGTACAGGAGCTTCAACAGAAGAATCACCACAACTCTGATGATCAGGTCTGAGTCTGACTCTGCAACACAAAAGAACCAAGATCAGACCAGGACCAGACCAGACCAGGACCAGGACCAGGACCAGGGGCCTCATTTATAAAGCTCGCTGATGCACACATCCTTGCGTCCGCGCTCTCTACACCAACCGCGGGATTTATGAAACTCGACTAAATCGTGGCGCTTTGTTTAACTCTACACCAACTCAGGACCTCCTGTAAACTCTACACAAAGTCTGGAGACACAGGGAAAAAGTGACACTCGTGGAGAGGAGCAGAAGTGAACAGAGTTTGAGGAAGTGTTTGATCAGAAAATCCTCGTATATAAAAGAATTATCTTCAGATTTGTGCATTTTAAGTGTTTGTTTCACCAAAACAGAGAGAAGTTTTGTTTATTCCACTCATTATTCTCCACAATATTAAACATTTGAAACTTGTGCATGACACGGCCACGTTC